GAGAAGGAATTCTGTAACGATGTGTTTCTCGGCATATCTCAATAGCTTTCAACTTGCAATGCCATCCAGGCCGATTAATTGAATTTAAAAAATACTTTATCCAGTATCTATAAGGTACTGCTGAAATTACACAAAGCAAATAGAGTCTTTTTAGTTAGACCACCACTAGATCGAAGGGATCCGATCGAAATATTTCCACAAGGGAGATAACTTAAGCCATTACTGTCCTTTATATCATTACGGCAGACACATCAGAAACAGAGAACACAACAACATAGAATTAATTGATGATGAAAATCTTTAGATCCTTCTTCTTGTTCAAGTTAAGTTCCTATCGAAGACTGGCAATTATAACTTATTTGTTACGCGCCTGAAAAGTTCAAATGAACTACAGCCAAACCAGTCACAGATTGCGTAGCCACGAAATTTGATGTCTTTTATGCTTCTTCAGATTCACTTCAACTATCGAAATGCTACAATCGGCAAAGAATCAAGTGCAAGTCACATTCGAGAGAATGTTACCATACCTATAGATACCAATGATAGATGGTGAAAATTTTAATTTTCTCTTAACGAATTACTTATATGAAAAACTATTATGAGACATATTATATCATATAACGGCTAAATCGAGTTCTATTTCAGATGCACGCAAGCGTAAGATTAAAAATTAAAGAATTTTAAAATTAGATTAAAAAGAATTCAACAAGCAGAATTCAATCGAAAGTGTTCAGGACATTTCACTAAGGACGAAATCCACGAAACCTGTGGAAAATCTCTACTATAACGGACTAACTTATAGAAATCTGCACCGAATATAAAAAGTGGACCTTGTACAAAGAAAAACGTTTCTATAAGGAGAATCCTCGAATTCTGTAAAAAATTCAAATGTCGGTATTTCTACAAAAGAAAATGTTTTTGTAGGTCAAAGTTACGTTTTATTGAACGAACATTTTACTAAAAGGAAAACTAGTTTAATATTGCTGTAACTACGTATCCAATAAAGCAAATCTGATAACAAGTTTTTTATCTGATATTAAAACAAAAAACAAGAAACGGCTGGGTTTTTTATCTAGAGTTATTACTGTACGAAATGAACTCATAAAGTAGGATAGAAATCTGCTGCAATAAAGTTTTATCAGAATGTTTACTTTTCTCATATCGCGCACGAACAAATTTTTATCAGCTAGATACACCTTAACTTAAATATAAAAAGGGTAATGTGGTGTTATTGACCTATACTAATGTTCGGCACGTTAAGGCTTAACCATGATTTATAAGGAATCAAACCTTCAAAAACATATTCGAAACGATTAAATAAGAGGATAAAAATGTCATAAAGAGCTTTCTAAAGAACCAAAAACCTTGATAATTCCTAATGAAAGTCCCCTAGCAAACTGGGAAACAAATCTCAGTTTTTGGTGCGGTCTGATTTTAGTTTTACTTTCTTTTGTACAAATAATAGAAATAAAATGACAAGAATAGAACGAAAATGGCATGTCTTTCGTTTGGTAACTACATATTGAATACAAGAAATATTCTTAGAAAAGAAAAATATACTTTTTCCCTAGGGCCTCACATATTCTTAGTATCAAAAAACAAAACTGTATAACTAGTGTAATCTTCAAATGCTTACGTATTATGTCAAACATAGACATACACAAGAGATAATATGGACAGAATAGAGATGAGAATAACAGTAATAGAAAAAAGAATGATCAATATAGGTCTGTTAATGACAGGAGTTAAAGGTGCTACTAGTCAAATTGCAAAAAGTGAAAATTCTTCGGCCACACTATTACACAAGACGAAAGGTGCATTAAGATTAAAGATTATTATAGAATATATATATATATATATATATATATATATATATATATATATATATATATATATATATACTTATATACGAAAAGATCGTTAAAATTTACCGAAATATGAACAATCATGTTATCCATAAATTGCGTGTAATGTTGAAGGTGAGAGCCTTGAAATTAAATGGCATTCAAAATTATTAGATTCACCAAAAGTTCCACGGTGTTATTTATCAAATTGCAGCAAGCAGAGAAAACCGGTTTTTTTTTAAACAAATTTGTCCTCTTGTATTATGAAAACTATAAATAATTTTTAACAATTAATGTTGATATACATATAATCATATATATCTACGTATTTTACAAGTTTGCAAATAATTAGAACGATTTTTTAGACATGAACGAATGAATAAAATATAGCACTTAATTTCCAAATTACCTTTGTGGCAACACAGCAAAATAAATGAATTTAGAAGAAATATGAGAATTGTTACAAAAATATGTACACGAAAAATAAATATCCTACAAAAAGTTAATCACGATATTTGATAGAATATTTAATACAACTCATTCTCTACAACTCAATTCAGTTAAAAAGAATATACATAAAAAATATACATAAAAATCAATGGGTACATATAAACCATAGGGATATACATCACAACAGGAAGTTTTCAGCTAGTCTAATGGATCTTATCAGACGAGAGCTGAAGAGGACCACAGAGATGGTGATTGGACGGTGTCAGCGGATTAACAAAGCCATGGTTGGAAGCAAAATATCTATTCATAATAGGCGATTTCAATTAGGCGATAGAACCGTAAGGATTAGGGGAAAAGAAGAACACCATATAAAAAATACATTCTTTAACACAGATAGTCAAGCGGTCATGGAAGCCGTAAGGTGGACTGTCGACAATCTGTAGGAATGTAGACAAGAAATCAACATACTTGCTGAACATAAAAGTGTCACACTAGTATAGGTTTCTGTTCACAGAGAAATACACAACAGTGAAAAACCTGATGGACTTGCCAGAAGATTAGCTAGAAAATATTTAGGTCCAGAGCCGGCCATGTGTACTTTTTGGAGACCAAGTGACTCTAAAAGCATATGGTACTCATCTTAAATTATATGTACAAGCTGGTACAGATTTCCAGAATTCTGGAAGGGGTATCATGAATTATTAGAATATGAACAAACTTCCGAGAAAAAACCGATGGATTAGGAGAAAAAAATAACAGGAATAACATCAGCAAGTTATGCAAACAAAAATAGCTTGTATATAATCCATACATTCTTTAAAACACGATAAAAGAAAAGATGCACTTGACAAAATCCAAATAAGATAACAAGGAATGAAATACAAAGGCAGAAAAGAACGAACCGGTTAATTGCCAACGTTACAGATAACTAGACAGCGCTTAAGACACTTAATTCTGTAGAGGTCAATTCTAAGCTAGTGTGGGATTATGTAGGTGTCCTAAATAAATGAGGAGACAGTAGTAGGCGGTAGCCTGGGTACCAGGACACGAGGGTCATAAGGGCAATGAAAAAGTAGACGAAATGGCCAAACAAGGCTCACCAATGTCAAAGTGGGTAGCGCATAAATCTCTAGATTGTTGGTGAAAGACAGGTGTAACAGTTCATTACAGAACATTCACAAAATTTACGGCAGACCTAATAAGCAAAGACAGGAAAACGGTCAAAGGCATAGTAGGTCTGTTAACAGAGAACTCTAGCTGAATAGGCAGTTGAAGCTGATGGGATTGGCACATGATGATCTATGCAGACTCTGTCACCTAAAAGAAGAAACAGCAGGGCACATTTTATGTGACAGCCTGGCAAATGTGCGATTCTTTGTATTATGTGAAGAGAAATCCCCGGCAAAGAAACAATAGGTAAAACTGACAGTACCCATTAAAAATGAAACCTAAAAGTCCTAAACACAAATCTTACAAATACCGTACTCTCAGTAGTACAGTTAGCAGAGTAATCAACCCATAATAAAATGATCAAAAACCCAGAGAAGAAATACAAATAAGAAAAAGGGACAACACTTTGTACCAAACCAAACACATACTAGAATAGAGTACAGTTAGCAGAGTAATCAACCCATAATAAAATGACCAAAAACTCAGAGAAGAAATACTAATAAGAAAAAGGGACAACACTTTGTACCAAACCAAACACATACTAGAATAGAACTAACCTAAATCAACAAAAACAATTGAGAAAAAGTCCAGAAGATAACAGCTATAAATCGAATAACAAAATTATTAATAGTCAGAATGAAAAATCACATAATTCATATTTATAATAATAAATTATTATCAATCGCTGTAAAAATCCAAACCACCACCAGTAAAAGAAGAAAAACATCGAAACGTAGTATAAAATGTTAGATATGAAGATATACTGGAAATAACAAACAACGAAATAACAATCACCACGTGCACCATGCGAAATAGGAGCCATGTCTGCCAGAAGAAGGCGGAATAGCATCTTACACTTTTGGCCAAGAAACGCATAAGCGTCCAATACTCCACAAGGAGGAATAGAACTAGAGAGAAAGAAAGAAAATTGCAAAGCCATCAGCCTGCTATCAGTCCTTATGTATCATCAGAACATAATTAAACCACAACAAAAAAAAGTAGGCAAATAGTAGTAGAGAGAGTCAGTTACCTCTATAATATATGTGTCCTTAACTTATTCATAAACTTCCTAGAAGGATAATATATCTACAAGTTTTCTTCTAGTTCTAAGCATCATAATGTCCGATAAAACATTTTTTCGCTTATAGTTGCATTTTCCAAATATGTAAATGAATTTGATTATACTATTAACTATTAATAAGGGAGTAATCAATAATAAACTAACGAATTTCATGTAATATTAAAATCATATTTTCGTTTCCACTGTTTTTAATAATGTGGTATAGTTTTTCTTGACGTCCAATCAGAAAAATGTAAAGAATTTTGTTTATACTATAAACGTGGTTTTAAAAATAAAAATCGTATTTGCGACATCTTTGTCGTAAATTTTCAAAGTTACATCATAATTTCATAAGCTATATCAATTTAAATTAAATGAAATAAAAATTATTTTAGCGCTTAACTGTGACTCGAAGGGTAGAAATTACTTGACAGCTTTTACTAAAAAATATTAAGTAATATGAAAAATAAACTTACTTGTAAGACCAGGCTCTTCATCCGAAAACGTCAAGAACCCTCTACTCATATCCTTCGTCCTAGGTCCAAACAGCTTGCTAGTGGCACTTCGGGGTCGCTCGACTTCCTTAAGATTACCAAACAACTTTCTCGTGTTCGAAATTCTTTCTTTCACATCGGCCTTCTTGGTCACTTCATCTTCATTGTCGGGTTTAACCTCGTCGTTAGTAATCACAATTTCGGGAACGACTGATTTGGTTGTCAATTGACAATTATTATTATTAATTTCTGACTTAACAGTAGATAATTGTAAGGAGGAGTACAATTGGTCCTCGCATTCCAGTCCACTGAAAAAATTAATAAACAGGGGGTGTTCCAAGCTATATCGCGCTTATCCAATTAACTTCGGGGAGTTAATTTGGCTCCTAACACTAAATGAGGAAGTTACAATTAACTTAGAAACTCACGTACGCTAGTGCGTTGGGGGAAACGTTACACCACGTTATGGCTAAGGCGCTTCGAAACTGACACTCGATCGACTGGCGGTGCTTTTTGCGGGCCAACAGCGCGGTCGTGATAACCGCCACGTGATGATATCAATGCATATGAACTATTAAGATTGTTTTAAATCAATCTTATAATAGCACGTGATTTTATTAAACTTATTGCCCAAGGCGCGACCTTAGATATTTTACAGGGGTTTTCTTTTTGGATGGCAATTATACAGGGAGTGTAGTTATGTAGGTAATTATACCAAGAGTTTGTTTTACAATTATCATTTGTGACTAGTTCATTTCAAACATTTATATTCAACAACAAATACTATTAAGACTAGGCGTTGAATTGTACGAAACTTAATTGTTTCTGTCCTGATCAATGTTTAAAAAATATCTAATACGTATTTAGGAAATAATGTATAATCTAATAAAAAGCAAAATTGAAGCTTTGTTGAACACCTTTGGATAACATATTATGTAAAATAAGCCTGGTGCCCGATACAGCAAGAAAGACGCCGGTACTTTAAAAATTTATTAAATTAGAAGTAGTAGAATCAGAAAAAAAAAAGAAATCACTGCACAATTTAATTATGAAGAATGAAAATCTCTTAACAGGGTAAATATAGATAAAATGAAAACTGAAAAATATGAGAAACGATTGATATCATCTGATCAAAATCAGGTGGTGATATAATCTGGTCAAAAATAGAATAGGCATATTCGTCAATGAAGGTTAAGTTATGTGTCAAATAAAAGCCCTCAATTAGAGAAAGAATTTAGCCGCATCCTCCAATTTTGCTATTGAACGGTTTCCCAGTTAATCGAAAAAAAAAACAATTATATACTAAACTAAAAAATTAATTTTATACGTATACATTTGTTCTCTGTTGTACTGAGACTGAAAAATCTGTCCCGAAGGCGGAAGAACCAAGAAAGTGGTCAACGGCATCAGAATGCAGAAGGCAACAATAAACCAGTGCATTAAAAAGGAAACGGTTACTAATCATGGAATATGGAAGCCAATATTCGGAAGGGGAGGTGATCCATCTTTAGATCACACGGCCTTCAAGGTCGTACCTCAGCGAAATCCCTCAGTGATAGAACTGGAAAAGTGTCTCTAAGAACTACATAGTTGATTATTAAAATAGGTACCTGGAATGTGAAGACAATGTATCAATCTGGAAAACTTCCAATATTACCATTAAAAAAAATGACCAGAATGAGCATAAGAGAAATGAGGTAGCCAAATAGTGGTGGTTGTATTGTTGACAACCATATGATATACAACTCAGGAAATGATGACGGTCAAAATATGTAAGGTTGGAATAATTGTGTCTTATAAACACGTCAATACGTTGCACATGTTATCCTGTTTTTGAAATATGTGAAATATGTGAAAAGTGTATGCCCCCAACAGCGATAAACCAGAAGAAATTCTATATGTTGTTGATAAATTCACTTAAACGACTTAAAAAATATATAACTCTTATTATGGGTGACTTGAATGCGAAAATTGGTAAAGGGAAAAGCTGTGAATTATTTGGTGATTTTGGTCTAGGGAAGGGAAATGAAGATTAAAACTGTTTGTCGAGACAGAAGAACTTGCAATATTAAATACATACTATAAACGACCACCAAGACGTTTGTATATCTAAACCTCTCCGCAAGATCAACCAGGGAATGGATGCCTATCAGCTAAAAGTTATACCGGTGCTAAAATATCGTCAGATCATGCTCCTGTTGTTGGTAAATATAGGTTTAGATTTAAGAAGGTTAAAATAAGAATAGTAATCAAAAATGCGATATGAGAAGACTAAAAGTTAAGCAAAAAACAAAAGAGACAGTCGCACGGATTCTTTCAGTAAATCTAAGTAACATGTAGCAAGTATATAAGCAGAAGAATCACTCCAGGATATATGTGAAACATTTAACACGATTAGAGAAGCTTCTAATAGAAAAAAAGAGGAAAAGTTGGATAATGACAATATCCTGCAATTCACGGCAAAAAGAAGAAAATCAAAGACAATAAAAGAATATACAACAATATTCAAAGACAAATAAGAATCGAAATACGAAAGGCCAAAGAGAATTGGTGAAAATCACAGTGTGAAGAGATAAAGATTTTGGAAGAAAAACATAATACGTTTAATCTGCATAAAAAGGTTAAACAACAGCTGGTCTTCAGAAATCCAAGACAAACAGCGAGATCAACAGGAAACACCACAGATAAAAACAAGAAAGAAAAACCTCCATTCTACATAAGTAATGACCACTTACCAATCACATGAGACGAAGTGGAAAAAGCAATATCACACAAAATCAGTGGAAAATACTATTGAAATCATATTGGAACCTTGTTGATCGGGAGCTACAATTAATCGTCATAACAGAAGCTATCCAGCGGATGATTGTTAAGAGGAGAAAACCAACAGCGGAAAGTAGGAAAGATTTGTCAGTTGAACATGAACCTTACTGGGTATATAGTTTAACGCTGTATTGAGAACTTTTGATTTTTCAAATAAAGAGTAAGAAATATTACTCTGAAAAGGAAAGAAACATGCCAACTCAAGCCAGAAAAAGAGAGATACATTAGAATATTTAATACTAAGTGCCACCTATTTCTTCGCAGGTCCCAGATTGAAGGCTGAGTAACCTGTGTCAGACACCAAATATCACATGGTACAGAAAAAGGAAAAGATTCAGCAAGGAAATAAGAGACCTTTACTTGCGAAAGGCTGAAGCTATAAAGAAATTGGAAGAAAAAGCAGTAAGAACATATCGAAATATACAGAATCAATATATTTTGACCTCGAATAAAAATTATTTCAACACAAGATGTAAAAAAAACTTGCATAGCGACCAGTTTGGACATACAACTTAAATGTCTATAATCCTACAGATACCATTGAAGTATTTTCGCATAAAGGTTAAGCAAACATGGGCTGCCAAGAAATAACCAGTTGTCTCTTAAAATATATTAAATTCCTACCCAGTTATGTTAAAAATATTGAAGCACTCTGCGAATTACGAAGGCCAGAACAAGATCCACTTAAGGCCATCAAAGTTTTGATTGTTTGTAGTAAAAACACCGTCAGTCACTAATTTTTTTTTTGTTCCTGGCTACTCCTATAATAAATAAATGTGGTCGAGATTTTGAAATTCTAAAAAAAGACAAACAACAACCGAGACATATATAAATGTTATAGCCTTATCTAATCTTTGGATGGACTTTGCTTAAAAAGGGATGTGAAGTTGACATCTGACGAATTGAAATTCTTCAATTTAAGAAAAGTAATCTATGCCCATTATTTCACAAGAACTTCTGGGACAATATAGCCAAGCCTTAATTCGAAAAAATTCCGAAAAACTTATTTCTAAGCTCCCCACTCCGCTAGCAGAAAATTTAAAGCCTGCCTAATTCCGGAGAAAAAAATCATATTTGAGCTATTTTTGTGATCCTATCCATTGAGTTTTATAAGGGTTTTTACACTAGATTCTCAGCCTCAAGCTTAAAATAAAGAGGAAGCAGAACGTGACGACATAGAAGAAAATTATACAGACGACAAAATCTATGAAATAAGGAATGAGTAACATGTATTTTGTATGTTTTTCTGTTTATCCAATATAAAATAATTTAAATTATATCCTAAAAATTAAGATGAGTGGTTTTTACTCTTAAAACAGTATCTAACATTATTAATCTACACTTAGAAGGCAAGTGGTTCAAGTGCAGTGGTACAAGAGAAGTGCAGCATTCAAAACTCTTCGTAAGTTTTTTATGAATTTCCGTAGTTATATAAAATGTAAATCCATGTCAAAAATACTTTCATATCATATTTTTTTAATTTTAACTTCAATTATTTCGAAAATTTGTCTTTTCGCTTCTGGGCTCCACATATCTCTGCTTCTATCATATAATAATTTTAAATGGTATTGTAAATGGGCAAGTAAATAGTAAATAAAATCAAGTGAATATGCACTGTATTAATTTTTAGATTAGTTACTTAAATTGTTTATTATTTTTTTTTTCGATTAGTTTAATCGCTCCCTAACTATGTTGGGGGATACGCCTAAATTGGTCCTCTAATCAAGAGCTTTAATTTGGCACATGCACTGACTTTGACGGAAGTATAGTTACCTTTTTTGTGGGATATGGGGTACGGCTCTCAACAATTCAGGATTTCTTATAAACAAAAACAAGCATTAAAAATTTAAATATCAGAAAAGTGTAGTATGTTTTGACGGCCTTTGGTTTGCAATGAGACATTGTTTACCGGGATTATAAGTAGTAATGTAGAACTATTACTTCCTAGCGGCCGTTAGCGATTACTCCGAATATTACCCCATCGCCATTGATTTCTGGCTCAGACGAAGAAGCACACGAGGACTTCAGAAAGAAATAGTTCCATGACATATAAGCCCTCTAAACAGTGTACCACTAATAAAACAGCTCAAATACATATTGATCGTGAGGAGTTTAACTAAATTTAAATTTTGAATGTGAATGGACAGACATATTTAATCCATATCCATTATTTCTTCAAGATCTCTGTGTTTTTCTGTTTTTAAGAGAAAATCATATTCTAATACTGTTAAATTAACTTCCTAATTACTCAATCTAAATATCGAAATGTACAGGTAAAAATTATAAAATCTAAACATTGATTTTCTTAAAAATAATTTTGAAGCATTTATCAAAACTTAAACCGCCTAAATATGATTTTCAAGGAATATATTAATGTGTTAATATTTATTTAGAAATAAAATCTTCGTATTCTAACCTACATAACTAAATTTTGTAAATACTAAACATCTAATATCCAATATTTCGTTCAAAATAACATAATATA